CCCTCTTCGATCTTCTGAGCTCTTGTTGAGGATCAACAATATGATCCAGTTGACTAGGTCGTTCTTCTTCTGTGACTGGCTGGTGAACTCCAGTCTTCCAAGGACTCTTGCCTTTTTCAGGAGAGCGAGTTTGAGCTCCAGCAGAACTTTCTCCTTGTTCAACTTCTGTTGTTTTTACCTCTTCTTCACTAGACCTCTTTAGCAACCTCTCCTCCATCTCCTTTGAGTCTGGAAGTAGGACTGCTTCTGGGGACCACCAGGATGATGCTTCATCAAACACTACATTGCGTGACACATAACAATTTCCTGTTGTTGGGTCGCAACATCTCCATCCTTTCCTTTGATTGTCATAGCCCACAAAAATGCATCGGACCGCCTTTTTGTCAAACTTGCTTCGAGCATGGTCTGGTATGAACACATAACACACACAGCCAAATACTCGGAAATGACTGACGTTGGGCTTCAACTTCCACAATTTCTCATAGGGTGATACAAACCCCAACTTTGGCTGAGGTAGTCTGTTGACAACATGAGCAACAGTCTTCATGCATTCTGCCCAAAACTTGGGAGGAACATTCTTTGCATGTAGCATGCTTCTGCAAATTTCTGCCAAGTGACGATTCTTCCTCTATGCTACTCCATTTTGTTGCGGAGTACCTGGGCAGGTCAACTGGCATCGAATTCGGTGCTGCTTGAGAAATTGTATGAATACGATTGAAGTGTACTCTCCTCCATTGTCTGTACGAAGACATCTGATCTTCTGACAGACTTCGACTTCGACAAGTTCTTTGAATATTTTGAACTTATCAAACGCCTCAGATTTCTCTTTCATGAAGTCAACCCAGACATATCTTGAGAAATCATCAATGAATGTAATCACGTACTTCATTCCAGACATTGAGGCCTGCTTCACTGGTCCAAACACGTATGAATGGACAAGCTCTAGAGGCATTTTAGACTTGAACTTTGAGTCTTCATAGGGTAGCTGATGAGCTTTCCCATACTGGCATCCGGCACATACGATATCATCACGGATATCAAGTTGAGGAAGTCCTTTGAGCATGGACTTCTTCATCATCGCCTTGAGCTTCTGATAGCCAACGTGTCCAAGACGAGCATGCCATAAGCTTGCCGTCTCATTTCTTCTTGTTTTGTCAACATAAGCCGCTTCTGCTGACATTACATAGACAGACTCCAGCTTCTGCCCTTGCATGATCGGATCAGAAGTTGGTTGTAAGCTTCGATACACCTTCACATCTCTAGGACCGAATACCACATAATTACCAGATGCTGTCAGTTGTGATACTGACATCAGATTCTTTCGCATTCCAGGGACGTGGTAAACGTTTGACAGCTCCACTTGTTGATCGCCAAACAGAGGAGTAATAAGTGTCTCGCCGATGTGGGTGATTGGCAGCTTAGAGTTGTTGGCGGTGACAACCACTCGTCCACCTTTGTACTCGGACACGTTTAAAAGCTTTTGTTCATCACCAGTCATGTGATTTGAACATCCCGAGTCCACAATCCAGTCATTTTCATAATCAATGACATTCTTGTCCACTGACATGAGTGCTAACTCTTTAGTGGCGTCTTTTGGAGCTTCCGTTGCAAAGGATGCTTGAAAGTCCCATTCATCATCATTCACCTTGGAAGAAGTTGCAGCGTTTCCTTCTTCCTTTTTGTGCCAGCAATCTTTGGCTAGATGACCCTTCTTGTGGCAAATGTAGCAATTGCCATTTTCTCGATCATGCTCCTTCCTGTCCTTTCCGTCACCACCCTTGTAACCGTGGTTGTAATTTTTCTGGGCTCCCCCTCGATAGTTGCCCCCTTTCTTGTTCCACTTTTGGTTCTTCTTGAACCCCTTTTGGCCACTTGTTGATGCAAGAGCCTTCTCTCCACCATTAGAGTCTTTACTTTTGCTGAGCAAGGCATTTTCCTCTTCCTTGATTGACGCCTTTGACATCTTGTCATCGAGAATTTCTTCATTTGCTAGAAGATTCTCCAACTCAGCTAGGGTTGGCTCCTTTGACCACCCTCTTGTTGCTGTCACTATGCCCATGAACTCCGGTCTCAAGCCACGAATGATGATTCTTCTTGTCCGAGCTTCCGAAATTGGATTTTCAGGATCCAGTTTCGAAATTTCGGCAAAGACATTTTTTACTTTGTTGAAATATTGACCAATGGTCAGTCAATGTTTCTTGGGATAGTGACATCAATTCATTCTCCAGTCTCTGGAGTCTCGCCTCATTGGTCCTGGCGAAGATTGTGGAGAGAGTATCCCAAGCTTCCTTCGGGGATTTGCTTTCCTTGATGCGAGGCAGGAATTGGTCTTCTGTTGTGACTGCAAGGATGTACATGATCTTGTCTGCTTTTTGCTTCCAGTCCTCCAACAACTTCTCATCTTTGGGTGGTGGGATGGTGATGATTTCCCAGAGCTTTTGGCCTCTGAGATAAAACTCCATACGGGTGCTCCAACTTGAGTAGTTGGTCTCGTTCAACTTCTTCATAGCGGTAACTGAGAAACCCTCCATCTTCTTACTTGGTAACTTCTCCAAGTTCTCTATTTCAGTCTTCCTGAAAATAACTGCAGCCTCTGACCGCCTGATGAGGATTTCGTCACTACTGGCTCTCGGTTGAACCAGTTCTGACAACTCAGCACAAGGAATCCCTTTTCTGATGTGGAAGATCGGTCGAAGCCGCAACCACAGAGCATACGAGGAATAACCTTGATACTGATAACAAAGCACAAGGAAACCTTTTCTGATGTGGAAGATCGGCCTAAACCGCAACCACAGAGCATACGAGGAATAACCTTGGCTCTGATACCACTTGTTGGAAAATTTGGTCGAAATGCTCACTAACTCTCTTATTTCTTCACCTTCCCACAACTCATAGTTGCTCAAACACTCTCTACTTTCTTTCTTATTTGCTTTGCTTTGCTTTGCTTGGGATGAAGAAACCATACACAAACCATGGCTATTTATAGCCAAGTTCCAACACTAAATTATGGCTTATATTTTGCCCACTTAACTACCACTTTATACCTACTTAACCCCACAAATATCTACCCATTTGTGGTTCTTCTTTTTTTCTTCTTTTTTTAATCCATAACTACCCACATTAATACACACTCTAGATAACTCCACACACTTCACAACTCTAACTAGTTGTAACTTGGCTATAAATATGTTACATTTTTTTTATTAAACTTTATTTTTCAACAGAGTGTCATGGCTTGGGATAAATTGGCACACCTCCAAGCAGAGGGAATGCTTTTCTAGCTTGTATATGGAGTAATTAGTATCTATGATTAGAGCGCTCTTTGGCCCTCCTTAATTTAATCTTGGCCACTGACTAAAGATAATCAGAATCAAATCGAGTTTGTAAAACGACAAAAAACAATGAGATAAAGGAGTCGTTACTTGCACCGTCAGCCATCTACTCTTTACTAAGACTGTCCACAACAAGAAGGGGAAAAGAGGATAAAAGGGGAAAAAAGGAGAAAATGGCTCACAATAAGGGTGGGTATTATGGAAAAAAAGGATAAAAGGGAAAGAAGGGGAGGGTTTATCCTGCGCTAGAGGTTAAAAGAAGGAGGGGAAGTGGGTCCAGGTGGGTGAGAGAAGGAAGGGAAGGGGGACCATGTGGGTGAGTTTTTTTTTTTTTTTTTTTTAAAAATTGTTTTATGGTTTTCTTATTGGATTTTTATGAGTTATTGGATTTTAGTGATAAATTTTTTTATGTCCAAAATTAAAAAAAATTATATCGAAATGTTCGTCTTAATTAATTAATACTACCTATATAAAAATAATGAATAAATTACCAAAATAAAGTTACCATATCAACTCTAGATTGGTTTTGAAAAAAAAAACTCATTCTCAATACCCTTTTTTCCCTACCACCTATTGTGGCCATTATCATTCCCCCATCCTTTTTTCCCACTTTTCCCATCCTCTTTTTCCTTTTTTCCCTTCCACCATTGTGGATAGTCTAATCTACTACAATCAATACGACGAAACCTCCTAGCCGTTCCTGACAAGGGACAAAACATTAGCTTCTTTTTTTCTTCTCTTTGTTCATTAAATTTTAGATTTGAATCTTAGGACCAATTGTCATTGTAAAAAAACTGTACAATCGTGATTTTATCAATTGATATGATTCCCGGCCGCCAAAGCAGATTAGAAACCCGGCCGGAATCATCAGTTCCCCGACCGGGGAAATGGGAGAAGAGACCGGGGAATCGGTCCAGGAATTTTCCCCGGCCAGATGTAAAATACCCAATATGGTATTTAGATCTGGTTTCGGGTCCTACCGAGTTTTGTTATCTTTTCGTTTAGAATTTTTTTTTTAATGTTTGCATTATGTTTATTTTTCATACCTATTTAAAGGTTGTAAGCCACGAATTTTAAGAGACGATTAAGACTTTGATGAATAAAAAAAACCTTTTGTTCTTGAGTGTTTGCTCCTGAATGTGAGTTTGGTGGATTCCAAACTCGAGTCTAGCTCTGTATCAATCAAAATCACATTGATCGTGGGCGGGCATCTACACTGATATTGTTCGAGTCTCTTCATGCGTGTTGAATTGTTGCACGACAATCCTTTCCCATACAATCCTTTTATTTTTTGTGTTCTTGAGAAAATCCTAGAAAAACCCTAAAAATTAAGTAAGAGCTGCGTATTCTGATTCGTGAGCGAGTTCGGATTCCAGAATTCTCCTTACATCATCAATGATTGAAAAATCATACCGTATTAACAATTCGACCAGAAAAACATCCTGTTAAAAGCGAAATCATTAGGCGATATTTATTGGCATGAAACAGGTGAACCATTAACGGTTAAATCCCGATTTCAACATAAAATAGCCTATCACTAACTTTCGAGTACAACTGTCTATTTACATAACCTAAAATATGTTACAAGTAATTGATTTTTCTCTACTGTCTTCCGTAATTACTTTATCGATCAACGAATTAAGAAATTTAAACTCGCTCGACGCTTAATCAAGTAAAGGGAGCAGAGCTTATCATCAACACAATCCCTTCTTGTCGTTGTCCACCGGCCGATGACAGCTGGCTGCCTGACGTCATCGACACGGCAGCTGCTCCGGCGGAAGTAGTAGTAGTCGTCGTCGTCGTAGTTATGGGCCGCAGCGGCGGCGAAATCTGAACGGCGGCACGGCAGAGAGGGCAGTCGGGGTGAGAGTAGAGCCACATATCAATACACGCCACGTGGAACCGGTGGCCGCAGTTGGGCAGCTGCCACACTTCCTCCCCTTCCTCGAACGCGCACAGGCACACCGCGCACGACTCGCCGAAGCTCCTCCTCCTCCCGCCGCCGCCGCCGCCGTCATCATCACTGCCGCCTTCTCTTCCTTGCTTCCTGTACTTGAAGCTCGACAGCGCCCGCAGGTTATTCACGCGGCGGCGGCCCCGGCTTCCGTAGTGATTCGCAGTTTCCCCGTCGCTGCCGCCGGGAGTCGACGGCGGGCGGCGGTGACGGATGCAGAATCGGATGATCACGACGTTGTAGAGGGCGAGGACGACGGCGGCGGTGCCGACGACTACTAGGCCGTAGTAGAGCATCGGGAGGTAGGATTTGGAGGGAGAAGGAGGAGGCGGCCGCGGCGGCGGAAGAGCCGTCGGTCTGTAGCCGCTTTCTACCATAATTTGAGCTTTTTGTGGTACTGGAAAGGAGAGAAAGGACTTTTTGATATAGTGAGCGAGGGGAGAGTCAAATTATTGGTGGCTTCCTTCTGGTACGTATTGCTTTCAGCTGCAGGAAAAAAAAAAATAAGAAATTGGTATATGGCAACATCAAACAAGGCGTTGCTGTTCTTCTACTCAGAGAGAAAAGAGTTGCATTGTTTTGATAATAAATTGGGAAATTGGATGAGGATTGGGACAAGGAGGATTAATGATTAGTAGGGGATTTGTTGTTGTTGTTGTATTAAGAGTTGGTTTGGGTTTGAAATTTGAGATTTGAGGTTTTGAATTACAAATATTAAATGATTTGTTTGGACTTTGCATGTTAGGTAAATTTGATATGCATTTGGATTTGTTCAAATGCATGTCTTCAGACAGTAGTATGAAAATTCGGATTTGTCCAAAAAAAATTCAGACCTGTTTGTAGATTGCTTTAAAGTTTAGGTGTTGAATTGTTAAAGAAAAGTAAAATTAGGTACTTACATATAACTTTTAGAGAGTGTATTGTTTGGGTTGATGTTGGGGTTGTAGCAAACGTCGAAATTTTTTGATATATATTGGGTATCAAAGTGGGATGATGAGCACTCTTTATATAGGCTTTTATTCTTGATGTCACCTCCAGCTTATCCTTGCGAAAAGAGTCCACCAGCGGATCTCGACAAAGGCACCCTCCAACGCTGAAGTTAATTAGTCGATTGGAGTGGTGAGAAAGAAAAAGGAATAATCTAGAAATTATTTGAGAGAGGACAACCTGGGTGACAACTAGTACAAGACAGTGATGACAATGGGCGCAATTTGGATTTTTTTCTGGGTTTTTCTCCCTAACCTTTGGCTGGGGAGTCTGGACATGTCATATAATGGTAATCTGGGGGGACAATAGAGGGACTTGTGTCGGTGTCACTAAATGATAATTTCTGAACAACCTAGATGATACTAAGCAAAATGCATATAGTAGTATATTATAGAATGATAAGCATCAATGAGAAAAAATAATTCATACTAAATAAACATCAATGATCATCACATATATATGCATGAAAACTAAAATCATACATACTGATGTTTAATATAGTGATGAAATACTAGGAGGCACTAGGGTCGTACTCCTCTAGGTCTTCTAATGCACAACTACTATCTACTCACACTCATCCATGACATACACAAAAATCTGAAAGAAATTTAGGGGTTTTCATTTAAACACAAGTAAAGCAAGAAGAGTAAAGTTGTTTAGTGATTTTTTTAAATATATATATATATGCATAAAGGTAAATATAAGTTATTGTAGAAGGTAGTGAACTCTAAAACTATCATGCATAGTAGGGCTTGTTCATATTATGTATCAATGTTTAATCTATTGTAACATCCTATACCTTCCTCTAAGGCCACTCTCTACCCCATGCATGCACCTCTTCTGATAGAGATTTAACTAACTAATGTGTACTTTCACTTCATGTCATTACCTAATCAATGAAGAACGATGAATTTATGATAACATATAATTAATTGTGAGCTTCCACAAACCGTAATCGTAGTCTATATCATCGATTATCTAACAATCAAACATTGATACTACTCGAAGTATAGATGGTTAATCATTCCATCCAAGCTCGTGTAACATCAATAGGGTATCCCTATATAGTAATATTTTTAACAATATCGGTAATACTAAGCATAATGCATATAGTAGCATACAATAGAATTATAAACATCAATGAGCTTATCTTTCGATGGAGAAGATGACTCCACTGCAGCCTTAGCCCTAGCCCACTCTCTTCTAAAATGTGTAAACGGGCCTAGTATAAGTTATAGCCCAAACATTATTTTTTTATTTTTTTATTTTACTTTATTGTGAAAATGAGTTGGAAATGGTAGAAGATTAAAATTTATTTTATTTATTAATTTTTAATTACCACGTCACCGAGTTGACGGTCAACTTTGAGGGTTGACTGCCACATCAGACATATTTAACGGAGTTGGACGGAGAGTGACCAAACTTGAACCATTTAACTCATTTGAGTGACCAAGATTGGATATAAATATTTTCAGTGACCAAACATGAACGTTTTTTGTAATCTCAGTGACCAACCATGCAATTAACCACTACTTTAAGCCTCTTAACAAAAGGACATCAGCAACTTTTGGTCTTGTAATTGTAAGCTCCATTTCTATTTTGGTGAGATTATTAGACGTGAATTAGTGGTTGAATAGAATTAAGGGCTTTAGTTAGTAATAAATATTTTAGGAGTTTTCCGTTTAATTTGCTGGGTTGTAGGATTATTAATTTTATGCTCTCTATTTAAAGTATGAGATAGATAGAGGGAAGAGTATGTACTATGATCAGAATGAAGATTTACATACCTATGTGTTAATTTGGGAGGTTGTCTTTTCTCGAAAAATGTTAAAGATTCTGTTCTTGCCATTAAAGAGAATTCTTTCTCTTATATCGATTTATATATCTATCTTTTTCTCTATTATTTCTCTTTCGATTTCGTTAATCTTTCTTCATAAATCTCATTCGTGAAAAAGTGAAAACATGGACTCACCCTTTAGAGCTCCAAAATATCTTCATTCTATCAACCATACTAGCAGAGAAGGTTGTCTATGACTCTATGTCTCTCATTGCTTGTCGTACATAGTGACCTATGTCACTGTTCGACCCACCTTAACAAAATTTCTGGCTATGCCACTGATCACCATAATTTAGGGGTGGGCAACCGGTCGGGACGGGATACCCGGTCCGTTTGAAACGGGTACCAAATCCCATTTAGAGGGGAAACTCCATCCCATGTCGCAAACCCGTATAGGGTAACGGATCCCCAAATTACCCGTATATACCCTTCCAACTAGTAGCAAAATCCGAGAACCACGAAAGTTTAACATAAAATTAAACAATTACAAACCTAGTTAATAATGAGAAGTCGTCACCAGTATTTAAACCCCAATTGAACAATTAAAGAAAGTTAAAAGAGAACCCTACTGGCTACTATCAAATAATGAGAAGTAGGGGTGGGCAATGGGAAACGAGTATTTGGGTATACCCGTACCCATCCCGTTTTTTAAGGGTTACGGGTACCCAAATACCCGTATTTTTTTTATCGGGATGGGATTTGGGATCAACAATCACTACTTTGGGTACCCGCGGGTTGCCCGTATACTCGTTTGGGTATTACGGTACCCGTTATACCCATTAGTCCAAAAAGCCAAAAACTCATTAGTGCAAAGAAGGGATTCGACTGGAATTTTGGAGTCAAAGAACAAAGAAGGTGTTGCTCCTGTTTTGGAGCCAAAGAACTAAAGAATTTGTTGTTGTTTTGGCGGCTTCTCTTTCACTCTTTTAGACTTTAGTGTTCAGATTATGTGGTCTTGTAGGTTAGTTTTATTATGTAATTGTTTGTAGGTTTCTCATATTAGCCTTCTAACTCTCCTTAATTGTGTAATTGTCTGTTCATGATAGTGATGGTGGCAGCTTCTCATTTTAGGTGGGTTTGTTTAATTGTGTGTTAAAACTTTTGTAGTTCTTCCACCAATTGAACGGGTATTTACGGGTAGTATGGGTACCCGTTATCCGTCCCGTATGGGTAATGGGTACCCGTTAACCCGTACGGGTTTGGGAATGGGATGGAGATTGCTCTCTAAATGGGATCGGGTACCCGTTTCAAACGGGACCGGTATCCCGTCCCCTCCCGTTGCCCACCCCTAATGAGAAGGGGGGATTGTCTATATAATTGGTTATGTATCATCTGTTTGTATACGAGATGATTTGGGATATATTGGCTAGCTAGTACGGTAATATAATTGGTTATGTCCAGTCTTTTTGTATACGAGATGTAATGGGATGTATTGGTTAGTGATTTCTTATAATTGGTTATGTATTGTCTATTTTATAGGGAAGTTTTGCTAATGAGTATTACGGGTACCCATACTATCCAAACGAGATTTAACGGGTAACCCGTCGGTACCCAATGTAGGAATTATTGATCCCAAGTCCCATCCCAGAAAAAAAATCACGGGTATTTGATTACTCGTAACCCTCAAAAAACATAACGGGTATAAGTATATCCAAATACCCGTTTCCCGTTGTCCCCCTACACCATATACAATTTAGGGGTGGAAGTTTGATTTGCGGATTGCGGGTAACCCACAAACCGCACCAAACCGCATACATTGTGGGTAACCATACCCACAATTTGTGGATAGTGGGTTGGGTGTGGGTAGCAAAATATTGATTTTTGTAGTTAGTGGTTAACCACTACCCACAACGGTTAACCCACAATAACCACACTAAGTATATTTATGGTTATTTCTTCGGTGCACTCACTTTTTTGGGTGCATTCAATGCACCCGCCTCATAATCGTCATTCTGAGCAGGCGATTCATGTGAAAACGATGTCAATCATCACTTGTGGTATGATGAACAAGAACCACATGAATTTGTACAAAAATCATTCAAGATTCACTTTAATTTGAATGATTCGGGGTTTATGAATTTAGGGTTAAGGTTAGGGTTTACAATTTGGGATTTTGGGTTGAGATTCAAAATTGAAGGTTAATAGGTTAGGGTAATGGGTTGATTAGTTGGGATTCTATGTTATATCATCATATTAGGCTAATACAACCCATTAAATTTCAGAATTTAGTGTATTATGACCACTTTTAGAGGTGGGTGCACTGAATGCACCCAAAAAAGTGAGTACACTGAAGTAGCCACCGTATATTTATATATTAATATACTTTGTAATATTAAATTATGTGAAAAGTAGAATGCTAAAAATTAAAGTAGGCTCAAAAATCCAATATATATTTATTTAATAAAACAAAACCAAGTCAATACACCGTGTTCGTATGGGATACTTTTATTAAATAAGCATTGTCCGCGTGGT